TGTGTGTCTGGGGGTGTGTGTGTCTGTGTGTGTGTCTGTGTATCTGCGCGTGTATGTGTCTGAGTGTGTGTGTGTGTCTGTGTGGGTGTGTTTGTGTGTGTATGTGTGTGTCTAAGTGTGTGTATGAGTGTATGTGTGTGTATCTGTGTGTATGTATCTGTGTGTGTGAGTGTGTGTGTGTATCTGTGTGAGTGTGTGTATGTATCTGTGTGTGTCTGAGTGTGTGTGTGTATCTGTGTGCGTCTGAGTGTGTGTGAGTGTGTGTGTGTATATATGCGTGTGTGTATATGTAAGGTGTGTGTATGTGTGTGTGTATGTGTATATCTGTGTGTATCTGTGTGTGTCTGAGCGTGTGTGTGTGCGTCGCTGTAATGTGTAACTGTTTTTTATTGTTGAGTGTCTCGGTTCTGTGTTACTTTCAGGTCAAACCCTCTCAGTCGCTCTCTTCCAGTGTTGTCTGTCTCTCACACACACACACACTCAGACACACACACAGACACACACACACACACACACATACACACAACAGACGCACACACACACACATACACACACACAGACAGACACACAGACAGACACACAGACACAGACACACACATGCAGACAGAAACACACAGACACGCTCCCCCAAGTACCTACCCATTTCCCTCTCACACTCACTCCATCCCCCGACTCCCCAAGTCTCTCTCCATCTCCCTCTCACACTCACTCCATCCCCGACTCCCCAAGTCTCTCTCCATCTCCTTCTCACACTCACTCCATCCCGACTCCCCAAGTCTCTCTCTATCTCCCTCTCATACTCACTCCATCCCCCAACTCCCCAAGTCTCTCTCACTGACTCTCCCCAAGTCTCTGTCCATCTGCGTCTTAAACCCACTCCATACCACAACTTCCTCAGTTCTATATACATCGTCCTCTCACAATCACTCCATCCACTGACTCCCCCACATCTCTATCCATCTCCCTCTCAACCTCTGTTCATCGCCTGACTCCCACAAGTGTACCTCCATCTCCTTTACACACTCACTCCATCCGCTGATTTCCCCCAAGTCTCTATCGAAATGCCTCTCACACTCACTCCATCCACTGCTTCCCCCAATTCTCCATCCATCTCCCTCTCACACTTCCTCCATCCCCTGACTCTCCAAGTCTCTCGCTATCTCCCTTTCACACTCACTCCATTCCCTGACTGTCACAAGTCTCTCTCCCTCTCACATCTCAATACATCCCCTGACTTCCCCAAGTCTCTTTCCATCTCCCTCTCACATTCGCTGCATCCCCTGACTGCCCCAAGTCTCTCTCCTTCTCCCTTTCACACTCACTCCAGCCCCTGACTCCCCAAGGCTGTATCCATCTCTCTCTCATACTCACTCCATCCCATGATTCCCCCAAGTGTCTCCCTCTCCCTCTCACATCACCATCCCCTGACTCCCCAAGTCTCTCTCCATCTCCATCTCCCACTCACTGCATCCCCTGACTCCCCAAGTCTCTCTCCATCTGCCTCTCACGCTCACTCTATCCCGACTCCCACAAGTCTCTCTCCATCTCCCTCACATTCACTCCATCCACTGACTCCCCCCAAGTCTATCTATCTCCCTTTCACATTCACTCCATCAACTGACTACCCCAAGTCTCTCTCCATCTCCATCTCACACTCACTCCATCAATTGACTCCCCCCATGTCTCTCTCCATCTCCAACTCACACACACTCCATTAACTGACTCCCCCCATGTCTCTCCCCATCTCCCTCTAAACCTAGTTAATCTCCTGACTCCCTCCAGTTCTCTATGTACCTCCCTCTCACACTCACTCCGTCCCCGGCCTCCCCCGAAGCTCTCTCCCTCTCCCTCTCACAATCACTCCATCCCCGGCCTCCCCCATGTCTGATTATTATCATCATTATTATTATTATTATTATTTTGTGTGTGTGTCAGATCTCACTCAGTGTCCCCGCGGATGGCAATGGGAACATGCCCCGCAATTGGTTGTGTCGTGCCTGGAAATGCCATCTCTGGGACATTCCTGTGACGCCTTTCCTGTTGCTCTACATCGGGACCTTTGGGATCTTCCTCCCGTTGATATGTTGGGATTTGCCGTATTCCCACTTTTACCAGAGGAAGTCTCTCTCCCTCCAGAGAACAACAGACTATCTCACAAACAGTCTGGAGGAGGCCAGGAAAGCCGTCAGATACTTCGAGACCATAGAGGTAAATGGATGGACATTTTACCGTCCGTCCCTCCCTCCGACCGTCCGTCCGTCCGTGTCATACACCTAGTAAGAGAGAGACTGACACACTCACACACAGAGTCACACACACACACACAAACTGAGAGTGACACACACAAACACACACTGAGAAAGAGTCCCCTTTCTCAGTCTCTCTCACTCACTCTCTGTCTCTCAGCCTCACTCTCTCTCAGTCTCTCTCTTTTTCAGTCTCTCTCACTCTCAATCTCTCTCTCAGTCTCTCTTTCAGTCTCTCATCATCTCTCTCTCCATCCCTCTCAGTCCCTCTCTCTCAGTCCTCTCTCTCTCTCTCTCTCTCTCTCTCAATCTCTATCTCTCTTTCTCTCTGTCTCAGTCTCTCTGTCTCTCTCTCACATTCACTCTCTCTCTTTCTGTCTCTCTCTCCCTCTCAGTCCCACCCTCTCTCTCTCCCTCAAGGCTGAGAACCGTTCCTCCGGGCCGGAGCCGGAGCCGGGAGCGTGTGAGCTGGTGATCACGGTGGTGACCACCCCTCGGTCTCGGGGACGAGACCACCGCTACCTCCTACGTACCGTCTCCTCCTTCCACCGCCTCCTCAGCTCCTGCCCCGACTGCGCCTCCTACCGGCTGCTCCTTTGCAACGTGCACCAGCCACCTGGGGAGCACACGGACGCCGTCAGAGCCTCGCGCTTGGCCTCACGCACGGTACAGCGCCACGTCCGGGAGCCTGGACCACCCGCCGGAAGTCTCCCGCTCCCACCATCGCCGACCGAGGTGGACAACCTCTTCGAGAAGGAGAAGAAGGATTATATCTTCTGCCTGAACCAGTCGCTGAGCCTGTTCCTCCCTCGCCATGTGCTGCTGGTGGAGGATGACGCTGTGCCCAGGCCGGACATCTTCCCGGTCCTGCGGGATCTGCTGAGGAGAAGGTCGGCCAAACGCCAGGTCGGGAGTCCCTGTACCTGAAGCTCTACCATCCCGAGAGGCTCCAGGGCTACCTGAACCCGGAGCCCATGAGACTGGCGGAGTGGGTGGGGCTGGGGCTGGTGGGAGGCTCGGCCCTGGCTCTGGCCGCCCGACGAGTCGTTGGGAAGCCCACCAGGTCCAAGACCAGCTTCCTGCTGCTGGTGGTGTACTGCATGGGGTCGGCCGAGATGCTGGGCAGGACCTACCTGCTGGAGCTCAGGCGCTGCTCGCCCCAGCTCTACGCCCTGGCGCCCGTGACCGAGTGCTGCACCCCGGCCATGGTCTACCCAGCCCCAGCTGCCCGCCTGGTGGTCAGGTATCTCCAGCAGGTCCACTGCCGGCCTGGCCTGGCCAAGGACACGGTGCTGTACCAGGCCCTGAGCCTATATGGGCAGCACTGCTACTTCCTGGAGCCCAACCTGGTCAGCCATGTGGGCTTCTACTCCATCCTCAGGGGCCTGGGCTGAGGCCTCGTGACTGTGGGTTTCCACGGCCAAAACCCTGTCCGACTGACCAACTACCTGCTCCGTCAACAGGGGCTTGTCTGTGTCTGTGTGTGTGGATGTATGTCTGTCTGTGTGCGTGCGAGTGTGTCTGTGTGTGTGAGAGACTGTGTGTGTGTGTATGTGACACGGTGTCTCTTTGATTGTCTGTATGTAATCTTGTGTGTGAATGTGTTTGTGTGTATGATTCTGTGTGTAAGTGTGTGAGTGTGTGTGTCTGTGTGCGTGAGTGTGTCTGTGTGTGAATGTGTGTGTATTTTGCGTGTGAGTCTGTGTGTGTGTGTGTGTTTGTGTGTCTGTGTGTGTGTCAGTGTGTGAATGTGTGTGTGTTTGTGTGAGTGTGTCTGTATGTGTGTGTCTGAGACTGAGAGAGAGAGAGCGAAGGAGACAGAGAGAGAGAGAGAGATGTAGATAAAGTGAAATAAAGAATCTCCAAACACACCTCGAATGTGGATTGAGTTTGTATATCAAACAGAGTCAGACGTGGACTGACTTTGCACTGCGTTTGTCCAACGAGATTCGAAGCTGAATTAAAAGAAATAAAAAATGCAGACGGGAACGAGAGAGATCGGGGGAGGGAGGTCAGGCTGACGGGACGTTACCGGGAATCCTGGAGCTCAGCTTCACGAGCGAGAGAGGACCTGAGTTCAATTCCCGAGCGGAACAGGTCAGGGCGAAACCTTGGGCAAGTTTTCTTATTACACAGAACCATACACACATAGACACACACACACACACACACACACACAGTACAGACACACACACACAAGTACAGACACACACACAAGTACAGACACACAGACATGTACACACACAGACATACACACACACACACACAGACAGACAAACACAGAGAAACACAGACCGATACGCGCACACACACACAAACAGACTACTTGGGCCCTGCTACCATGGGGCCCATACGACTTGGGGTCCCCTACCACTTGGTGGAACTCTAACTCTTTGCTAACCCGTACCACTTGGTGGCCCGTACCACTTGGCGGCCCCTATCTCTTCGGGGCCCCTTCCTCTTGGGGGCCCATATGGATTGGAGTCCCCTACAACTTAGGAGGCCCCTACCACTTGGGGCCCCTAACACTACTATTTGGGGTCCCTACCACTTGGGTCCCCACACACTTGGGGGCCCCTACCACTTGTGGTGTCACTAGCACTTGGCGGACCCGAACTCTTTGTTGGCCCCTACTACTTGGAGGACCCTATCTTTCGAGGCCCGTACGACTTGGGTTTCCCTCCCACTTGGGGTCTCCTAGCACTTGGGGGCGCCTACCACTTGGGTGTCCCTGCAACTTGGGGACCCCTGCAGCTTGGGGACCCCTACAATTTGTGGGCCCCTAACACCTGGGTCCCCTCCACTTGGTGCCCCCTATTACTTGGTACCACTACCAAATGGGGCCCCTACAACTTGGTGCCCCCTACTGCTTGAGGTCCCCCTACCACTTGGGTGGCCCCCAAACTCTTGGGGCCCTTACAACGTGGGGACCCCTTATCACTTGGGACCATCTACCCTTAGGGGCCCTACCACTTGCGGGTCTCTACTATATGGGGGCCCCTACCATTTGGAGTCCCCTTCCACTTAGGCACCCCACCACTTGGGGCACCCGCCACTTGGTGTCCCTGTTACTCGGTGTGCCTACCTCTTGGTCCCCTACCACTTGGAGGCCCCTACAACTTGGGGGCCCCTACTACGTGGGTGTCCCTACCACTTGGGGACTCCCACAACTTTGGGGCCCCTAAAATTTGGTGCCCCCTATCACTTGCTGACCCTACCAAATGGTGCTCCTTTGACTTAGTGTCACCTACCACTTGGGACCTCTACTGCTTGAGGCCCTCTACCACTTGGGGGGCCTCCGAACTCTTGGGGCCCCTACCACTTGGTGGCCACTACCTCTTCAGGGCTCCTACCAATTAGTAGCCCATACGACTTGGGTGGGGGGGTTCTACCATGTGGAGGCCCCTATTATTTGTGGGGGGCCTTGGTGTCCCCTACACTTAGGGCCCCAACCACTTGGTGCCCCTACCACCTGAGGCCCCTACCAATTGGAGGCCCCTACCACAAGGGGCATCTACCACTTAGGCCCACTATCACTTGGGGGGCGTCTACCGCTTGGGGGCCACCACTGGGAACCACTACCACTTGGAGAACCCTACCGAATTGCTTCCCCCATCACTTGTGGATCCCACCACTTGGTGCCCCTAAAACTGGGGCCCCTTCAATGGGCACCTTATCAGTTGTGTCCCCTACCAATTGGGGCCACTTGGGGGCCCTATGACTTGTGGACCCTACCAATTCTTGTGGGCTCCTACCACTTGTGGGCCCTACCTTTGGGGGGCTCTACCTCTTGCGGTGCCACTACCATTTGGCGAACCCCTAACTCTTTGGTGGCCCCTACTACGTGTGGGTCCCTACCACTTGGCAGCCACTACCTCGTCGGGGCTCCTACTTCTGGGGGACCCATACGACTTGGGATCCCCTACCACTTGGGGAACCCCTACCACTTGGGGAGCCCCTACCACTTGGGAGCCCCTACCACTTGGGGAGCCCCTACCACTTGGGGAGCCCCTACCACTTGGGGAGCCCCTACCACTTGGGGAGCCCCTACCACTTGGTGACCCTACTACTCGGGAGTTCTCTCCTACTTTGGGTCCCATACTACCTGGAGCCCCCTACCACAATTGTGGGAACCCCAAGTGGTAGGGGCCCCAAGTTGTAGGGGCCCCAAATGGTAGGGGCGCCAAGTGGTAGCCTCCCCCTCCCGCTCCAAGTGGAGGGGCCCACCAAGTGGTAGTGAACCCCTAGTGTTAGGGGTCCCCAAGTGGCAGGGAACCTCAAGTAGAAGGGTTAGGGTTAGGGTTAGGGCCCCCACGTGGTTGAAGTATCAAGTGGTGGGGGACCACAAGTGGTTGGGCCCCGAATAGGTGGGGTCCCCAATTGGTGGGAGCCCCAGGAGATGGGGGAACCAAGTGGTAGGGATTCCAATTGGTCCCCAAGTGAAGGGACCCCAGTTGCAGGGTATCCAAGTGGTGGTGGCCCCCAAGTGATAGCAATTCAAATTGAAGGCTAATCTGCATGTTAAACACACAGATGAGCAACTCACCTTTAATTCAAGAAGCAGGGCAAGATTTCCTCTTCTGATGGCAGACTGTGATTTGCAATGTGATTAAACACAAGATTCAACAATCTGAATTGAACATACTGTGCTGTGGATCTGGGTTCTTTTCCCCGGGGGGCGAAACGTGGAGTACGATTCATTACTCCACAAATCTCTGTTTACCCAACAGTAAGTAGGATCCGGGTTCTTAGACGATTAGTAAATCTGTTTTCTGGCGGTAATAATGGCTTGAAAAATAAATAATAATACATAATAATAATAATTTGTCACTGAATCCTTGACTGTTTGTGAGACAGTGCTGTGTTATATCAGACGATGCGTTTAGCAGGTAAAATACACACTCTAGTACTTTTGCTGAAGTGCAAAGGTAATGTTGTAGGCGTTGAAGCCTACAACATTACCCTGTCCTGACAGTCCACGCAGCTTGGCTCATCCTTTTCTAGCGACGTTTGAAAAACTTTCGAGGGCTTATGCAATCATTTATTTTTCGCTTCTGAAAATATAACCCGTAAGAATAACATAGAAATCCTATGGTTTTAGTTTTGCAGCTGCGTTACTTAATTTCTCTGAGTTTAGTTACACATACAGTGGTAATCTAAAGATTTATACAATTTTTCAAAGAGTAGCACCGCCAGCGAGGAGCTCTGTGTGTGCCTTTGTTTGTCCGTATCTGTGTACACATCTCTCTCTGTATGGCTTTCTAACACTGTCTCTCTCCATATGCCTCACCTTGTTTCTGTATTCTCAGTCCTCATGCTGTTTGTATGCGTCTCTGTGTATGTGAGTCTGTTTGTTTCTCTGTATCTGTCTGTGTGTCTGTTGTCCCTGTTTCTGTCTATGTTTCTCGACCGATAGTTCTCTGTATCTCTCTTCATATATACTTGTTTGTTCTATGTCTCTGATGTATCCTCTCTCTGTGTGTCTCTACATCTGACTGTCTTTATGTCTTTTGTCTGCGTTGTCTGCGCTATGCTTTTTCCTTTCTCTCTGGATCTCTCTTTACATATCTATCAGTTTGCGTTTCTCAATCGATTAATAACTGACACTTAATTTCAAGATTCCCGTCATCACCTTGAAGGCCATCCATATCCTTGCACCCTCCTACCTCACTGACTTGCTGACTCCCGACCAACCTGCCCGCTCGCTCGGTTTATCGGGATCCGGCCTGCTCCATGTTTCCCGCCAGAGCCGCCCTTCCATCTTTGGGCGGGATTTCAGCCTCTCTACCCAAACCTCTGGAACTCAATACCACGGTCCCTTCGCCTCGCTTCCTCCCTTTCCTCCTTCAAGGCCGGTCTCAAAACCCTTCACGTCGACCGTGCCTTTGGTGTCTATCGCACTTCTCTGCCTTCCCTCACCCCTACACCACCACTCGCCAATCTCGGGCCCCGACTCCTGACTGTTCAGCACTTTGAGACGTTCTCCCGACCTGAAAGGCGCTCTGAAATGTAATTTTCTTGTTGTTGTTGTCACTCGCTCTGTGTATCTATCGTACTTTTTGCCGCTCTCACCCCTCTCTGAATGTGTTGTTCTCTCTCTCTCTCTCTCACTCTCTCTCTCTCTCTCTCACTCTCTTCTCTCTATCACTTACCCCGCAATTCGCAATTTGCTGCGGGCTCCGCTGGCCATATGTACAGGTGATTGTGCATTGCTCACATTGTGTGTATGTGTGTGTTTCTCACTCCCTCTCCGTATGTATCCTTCTCTTCGATCTTAACCTATTTTTGTCGCTGCATTTCTTTGTATACGTCCTTCTCTATCTGTTTGCTCTTTCGTGCACCGTCTCTCAGTTTTTTGTGTCTCTTTTTCTATCTCGCTCTGTCCGTATCCTGGGCAGGACGTTGATTTATAACGAAGCAGGTATCTCAAAATTGTTATTTGAGTCGGTAGGCGTGACTGTTGCACCAGCAGAAAGTCCACGGCTTTCACCTAATCAGTACTATGTAAACTGTACTATTGGATGATTATGGCTAATCGTTCTCTCTTTCTCACTACCACCACTCCCCCCCCCCTCTCTCTCTCTCTCTCTCTCTCTCTCACTGTAGGTAACCTGCT